TGCGAGATATACAGAAAGAGCGAAATATGCAGAAAGAGCGAGAGAGAGAGAGCAAGAAATGCAGAAAAAGCGAGAGATACAGAAAGAGCACGAGGGAGAAAGAACGCGAGAGACAGCGAGAGTTTCGGTAACACAGGCGACTGGGGTATTCTTTCCACGAGTGAAATCCGGCGAGAAAATGTGAGAAGGCTCGGCTTTCGAGGACCCTCGTGCCCGTGAAACGTTTGCACTCGACGTTAATTCTAGAACGGTTGGGAGAGAGAACGGTGGTAGACGCTCTGCTAGAGGAACAGAAGGTAGCACCAGGTTAGCAATAGGGAGGAGAAGAAGAGAGAACAGAGGTGGCGATAGGGGATGGTGGACGCACGAATTTCCTTGCGCAAACAGAGAAGAGGCGTAATTTCTGTCTAGTTAGAACGAAAATTATGCGAGCTTAAGTGCAGGACAGTCCAGGCTTAACCGAATAAAGGCAGTTCACGGCCCATGGGGAATTTAAACCGAACCCTGGCTAAACCGTTAACGACACGAGCCTCCCTCTCTTTCGACCACCGATCGCCATTCGAACTTCTGCAATTTGTTATTTCGAACAGTGGGTGTCGCGCGATATGGATACTACGTGGAACGATCGTTTCATAGTATGCGAACGCGCGCGGAACACGGTGATCGGCGAAGACTGTCTGGGATGGAAAACTCAGTTACATCCGTGTAGATTGGACGGGGGTTAACGGTCTTAACGTTTGGCGCGGGCAATGCGTTCGTAGTTTCGGGGGGCGAAGTATCGGCGAATTATCAGATGGTAATGATTACTTAAACGGCTGCGGCTATGGTGAATCGGGGATCGAGGATGAAATTGGGGAACTTACCGACGAGCTCTTAACTTCCATTTGGAAATTCTAGCTGCACGGTTGTTTAAACGAGATAACGATGGTACGGAGAGAGAGAGAGAGGGATATTTGAATAAATATGGATATTTACAGTGGAGAGAATTTAAACGCAGCGGATGATTAATCGAAGGATCCTTGTTTTTGACGAGAATACGCGTCTGTGTGTTGCTCGCGTATGTCCTTACGACCGTTTAAGGTTATAAGGATATTAAGGGGTGTGGTAGTGAAGTTTAATCGTGAAGGAAATAATTCGTAGTATACTATTTAATGAAGCAGTTCAACGATGTATTAGTGGTGTGGATGATGCGCGTTGAACTAGAGATTATGATGTTTCTCTTTGATGTCTGGTGGTGAACTGACTCCCTTACGAATTTCCGAGTCGAGGGAAATTCGTGAGCCGGTCTTGTCACCTGATTGGTAAGTATTTTTTGCCAATCAGGTGATAGATCCACCGACACCCAACTATTCCGGGCAGGAGAGGTGGTGTCAGTGGAGGTGGAAGACGCTATGTGGGAATTTCCGCCAGGCTTTGCACTCGAAGGCCCTTTTGTCTATAAGAAAGTAGCAAAAATTAATGTAATTTTTTAAAACTAATATTTTTATCAGAAGTTGGTTCTCTCAAACTATTTCACTGCTGTGATCTCTAAATATGTAGTGAACAATCCACGGAGGGCCATAGACCTGCTGTCTTGGAAAATATCATCCTTAGAGTTGCCTCTAATGGTAAACATAATTTCGCTTCTTAGTCGCCTCTCGAGTGCAAGGGGTTATTAGGGTTTCTCATCATTTCTAAGGATACCCCATATTTGCCTGGGAAGTATCCTTCGCATCTGGCTAAAAATTTCGTTCGTACCTGACCCGGTTTTAACGTGTACAAGGTGAAACGAATTTTTGTTTTTCAGCTTGACGGCGATACTGTTTCAGCCGCGAACGATCAAAGTGGAGGAACGTGAAAAACAAGAGGGAAATTTCTATTAATTCTCCGCGAAGTCGTACGAATGTATCGATGCAGCGAAATTGCACGCTCGAAATTGGGAAAACGATTCGATATTTCGGGAACGCACCGCTCTGCGAATGACTCTAATTGGATAATGTTTCCTGGTGTGCAGCACTCCACGCATTAACGTAAATTCCGCGACCGCGGGTGCTTCGTATTTGCAACGCTACTATAATAACAGAATTGGTCGTTAGGACAGTTTTGTTTAGAACGCTGCCTTATCTCAACGCTGCAGCTATTTAACGTTTCGCTTAACTTTTCGTAATAAA